CTGCTGACACCTCTCCCTGCGCCCATCTTTCAGGTGATGTTACTTGGAGACTCAGGCGTGGGGAAAACCTGCTTCCTGCTCCAGTTCAAAGATGGGGCCTTTCTCTCCGGGACGTTCATAGCCACCGTGGGCATAGATTTCCGGGTGAGACCACTACAGCTGCTGGCCCCTCGCCTCCTCCGACCGCACCTTGGCCAGGATGGGGCGCTGGGAAGAGAGCATGGGGAGTTTCCAGCCTCTGTACCCCAAATAATCTGCTAACTGGCTGCAGGCACTTGCTGAAACCCTTCCACCTCTCCCTGGGAGAGCAGTAACAGACGGAAGAGCCCACTAGGAACATCACCTCTTGCCTTTCAATCAGCAAAAAGCCTTGGTTTAGCCCATCCCGGCCAGGTGCATGGGCTGGGGGTGTGTGGTGGGTGGCCGGCACGCTCCACCGGCTGGGCTGAGGCCAACAGCTGGTGGGGACAAAGGTTGGTTGCTATAATTTTGTGCCTTGAAAGGGCTGAAATTGGCTGCCGAGGAGTTGTTAAGCTCACCAGATCCCATTTAAACTCTCCCGCTGCTCTCTGTTCACCAAATTTCAGCTGCAGGGTCTCTCTGGGGATGCACGGGCAGGCAGAGCTGTTTGCAGCGCAGGGTAGAGCAGCGTTTCAGCAGGCTGGAAGTCGCGGGGGTGTCCCCCGGCAGGGCTCTGCCTGCGGCTGCCGACACGTGTCGAGTGCGGTTGGCACTTCCTCTGCCTCTGCCGCTGCAGCTGCTGCTGCTCTGGTTTTCTGCTGCCTTTGCTGCCTGGGCTGCTGTTGGCTTGCAGGGGGGAACTGGGGCAGTTGGTGAGTGGGGGCCAGGGGGAAAGGGCTGTGGATTTGCTTTGGAGGGGTCTCCAGGGGGTAGCCTGTCCTTCCGATAAAGTAATGAAAGAAGGAAAATCTGCTGTGTCCCACTGCTGGGCTCAGCACTGGTGGTCCCAGGGGTGTTGCCAGTTCATAGGTACCCATTCTGCCCCGTGCAAGTGTCCCCTCCAGCAGGTCATGGCTTGCTGCTCATAGGTAATTTCCAGCATCTCCTAGGGCACATTTTTTGTTTTATTCAGCCCATTTTCTCAACTTTTGTCATCTCCACATGGGCTGAATTTCCATTTCAAACAATTCCAGGCAACCAAATTATTTATAGAATCGGGGTCTTCTCTTTCCAGAGTCATCCCCCCAAGTACAATTCTTTAAGAGTCTTAAAATAGCCCTTTGGTAGCTCCTGCTTTTCTTTTCTCAGGCCTCTGGAGAGAAGGCCCTGCACTTCCAAGCTGGGTACAGCGATTGCTTAAGCCCTCTCTGATAACTGCCTTCCCCGTTCACTTGCAAATGCTGCTTCCCTTCCCCATCCCAGCCTGGCTGCAGGCTCCAGCGGCCCCGATGCTTGGCTGCAGACTGCCCTGACCTGGGAGATTTCCTCCTGCTGTGCTGGATAAAGCTATGTGCTACCTGCAACCCCCAGCTCAGTGTGTGCAACCACCTTTAGGGGCCAAGCAAGGCTCCCATCAGCAAGGAAACCTGAGCTGGACACCCAGCATCACCCACTGAGCATCCCCAGGTGGCTTGTAGCATCCGAAGGCCTTAAATTGCTGCAAATAGCCCAAATTTTTAGTGCAGCGGTGGTTCCTTTGGCACATGGAGCAGAGGAATGCTGGCAGAAGGGTCAGGGCTTTATGGTGGGCAAACAAAGAAGCAGGCCAAGATGTTATTAATAGATTAACATTTGCATGTAGTTCATGCAAGACCCTCCCCACTTCCCCAGCTCTGCCGAACTTCCCCTGGCCATGCAGACAGCGGCTGCTGCAAGCCCGGGGCTGCCCGGCAGGAGCCGGAGCAGGTCGGTGTCCCCGGGCTTTGCAGGGCAGCCTGCATCGTTAGCCAGCTCATTAGGGGACTCAGGAGCTGCAGGACAGGGGCACTGGCTGTAGGAGATGAACAGGGCACCGGATCCAAAGCAGGCTGGGATCTTGCTGTCCTGTCTCCATCAGAGCCTGATTCTGCCCTTTTCCAGCCTGGCACAAGGGGATGCTGCTCTGAGATGTCCCTGTAAGTGCCACATGGCATCACAGCCCCCCAGCAGGACCAGGGTTTGTGGTGATGAGGCTTCAACATCCAGCCTCATGGGCAGCCTGGCTTCATCCCACCGGCTGGGGAAGAGCAGCCGAGGGGCTGGCTCCATGCCGGGGCTGGCTGGCACTCGTGCCAAAGCGTGCTTTGGGCTGATAAATGTGCTCTCCTTCTCTTCTGCAGAACAAAGTGGTGGCTGTGGATGGTGTGAAGGTGAAGTTGCAGGTGAGCTTTGGGAGCGGGTGAGCAATTCCCAGCCATGGTGCTGGAAAAATAACCCTGGACTGAGCGTGGGTGGGCTGGGAGCCGCAGGGGCATCCCCAGCCGGGAGGTTTCCCCTCCCTGCTCTCACCGGGGCAGCTTCTTGGCAGATCTGGGACACGGCAGGAC